GATGGACAGAGATGGCGGCGGGAAGAGCAGGTACGGCCGTGTCGCCGGACATAGCGGGTGAGGATGAACAACCGTGGACTTGGACGGCGACGCCGGCGAGAGGCGGAAGATGGAGCTGATCAGTGGCGAGACGTGGAGGAGCACGGCGGAGGTCGGGCAGAGAGAGGAAGGTGCAACGGTGGGTCAGGAGCGGCGGACATGGCGCCGGTCTCCGCGACGGAAATCTAGCGGATATGAATCGCTAAATAGAGGCCGCTGGAGAAGCTGGAAGCGACTGCGAGACCAACGACGTCGTACCGGAGCTCACCACTTCCGGCGGCGGGGCGGCATACGGCGGACTGTAGTTGCGGACGTCGGACAGGCGCGATGCTGGCGGGATTCTTAGCGACGGCGCCGTCGTGGTGTCCGTCTGTCACACAAGGTGACGGGCTGCCGGCAGGACTGTGTGTGACTGTGTGTGACGGGGGGTGTGTGTGAGAGAGAAAAATAATGAATCAATTAGAGAGAAAGTTAATGAGGAGAGAGAGAGAGAGAGAGTTAAGGAGGGAAATGGAGGGGTGAGTGGGTGACGTGTCGTGCAGTTGCGGTGTGGTGTGTGTGGGTCTTACTATTTATTGGTGTTGTCAATTACCACATTACCTTTAATGAAGTATATTTATGACTTTTTTTTAGTCATTAGATCATCCGATCCAATGGCTACAATTTATTCCTATTTCTCGCATTAAGGGTCATTCTCACCGGAGCGTGACCCTATATATATATGCATTGATAATAGTAAGAATCCTAATTTTGATAAAACTGACTATTCGTGAGTTGAGAATAGTTTTATCTGACTCTTTCAAATGGTTAAAATAAATCATATCCTTTAAGAGTGTTTTAAATTTAATAATTACCTTTGCATTTGTCTTTTTTTTTTTCGAAACGATAGAAATTTTATAATAACTAAAACCACGTCATTACAGCTAGAAAACAGCTAGAATAGCCACGCAGCCAAACAACTAATCCAGAAGGCCTACACAGATGTCGCCTTGAAGCAACTATACTAACTCAGCCACAACACAACAAACTATACAGATCCCAACAGGAGACTAACACGCTCCCAATAGAAGAAAACACGCTCCCAAACATGAAAGAAAACAACATAACAACTAAAACAAAAAACAAACCACCAACACTAACACTGAACAACGCACACAAACCAAATGAAAAGGGAAAAAAAAAGGAACAAGCCCTCTGCGGCTGACCGCAATCAATTGGGAACTACCAAGCGACACAGATTCCAAAGAAAGACGATCGACGCAGCCTAGATCTAGAAACTGCACTCAAAGGCCTAACTAGACTCGGACCAAAACGATCCCGAACTCCTTTCACCGGAACCAACACGGACTACACCGAGCTAGCCCCCCAACACCAAACCGGGCCACGACAGTCGATCACCACCGACGGCGGCCGACTACCCCCTGTCGGACCCAACCACCCCAACACCAGGAGGAGGTAGGATCTAGGAGACCAGACAACGTCGGACTCAAGCCATTCCCCCAGCACAATGGGGGAAAACGCTGGTGACCGCAACTCGCCTATGGGCGTTTGAGCACCCTCGAGATCCGCCATGGCCACCAGGAACTGAAGAGACGCCATGCCGTGAAGAGTGAGCCGATCGGACTGTGAACTCGCCGCCACCGCACTGTAGAGCAGTGCCGCTTTAGAGGCTGCCGGTTGACCGGCGGAAAGAAGGCATCCGCGACGGCAACGAAGGGGCTTTTCTTCCGCTAGGGATTTTGACCGATTAGAGAGGAGAGAGAGTCGGAACCTTCGTCTTTCAGTACATCATTGTGTGCTTCAATATCCAACACATAATATATAGAGGTTTATTCTATGATAAATATTATAGCCTGCGTTATAGATCAACTATGGGATCTAATAAAAACCGTAGGATATTATAAAAGACATGAGCAGATCCAAGACTAATGATGAAGCTTGGAATTGTACGCATGTTTGAACACACATTTGACTTATGTAACAAAAGATTTTTTAAAATTGTGTTTCATGACAACGAGGTACATGCGTTATTACATTTTATAATAAAAATACTATACAACTAGAAATTAGAAAAAAATTAATGCTTTTTATACGATTTTGTTAGGGGTGGAAACCGATTTTTAGTCATGACATCTAAAGATTTGGAAAACATTAGTTTGTGGGGATGACAAGTTTCCCAAAAATCAAACTAATAAAGTTGTGTATAATAAAGTTTTCAATAATATGTAATTTTTTCATGTAGAACAATTTTTAACTGGACAAATATTCTATATGTATGATAATTCTTCTACTATCGAATAACCTTCAATTTACAAAGGCTCATGAATAAATGTAGTCGTGCATTGCATGGGTCGCTGATTTATACAATATGGTAAATTAGGCAGTTTGTGGGTACAAAAAAATAAGAAAAATGGGTTTTAATTGGATTAGATAAAGAAAAATATAAGTAGTTTAGGTACTAAACCACCAAATTATATAATTTAGTTACTAAATTAGCTAACTAATTATAGTTCAGATAAAAAAAAAAATCAATATCCCTTGTTTTGGTTGTTGTGCTAATTTAGGGCGTGGTTGGATACAAGTATATCCGATCACAACGAGTTTTTTGGGTAAATCGTGATTAATTTTGAAAAAAAAAAAATTGTAAAATTAGTTGTTATGTGATTTTGAATTTGTATCAAAATAATATTTAAAATAAAATAATTATAGTTGATCTGATGTAAAAATATGAGAGATATTATGTGAAGTGATTGTTAGGTAAAATCATATGTGTTAATGAATAGTGAAAAAAGTTGATGTGATATAAGAATGATTAATTGATATTATTTAATTATATTGATAAGATTAAATTAAAATTGAATTATATTTTAAGTACGAATTATATATTATGATTTCAAGTGCCATTTCGAGAAACTATAAGATTTGAGATTTTTTAAGATTTTTAAATTATGGAGGAATTATGTAAAATCTTAAGTTTGGAGGTGAGATTTGAAGTGTGATCTCGATGGTTTTTTTTCTTTCGAAATTCCACCAAATCTGGGGGTGTATTCAGTTGGGATTTCTAATTTTTTTTTAACACTTTAGAAATCCAAGCGTATTCAATTTAGATTTGTTAAGACTTTTAAAAATCTTAAGGTATGTTTTAAAAAAATTTACGAAATCATAAAAAAAACCTTATACGTATAGTCCTTGGAAGTTAGAAGAAGAACTATCTTCTTCAATTGTGAGAAAATCTCACTTAAAATTCCACCTCCATACTTAAGATTTCATATAATTTTTTCAAAATCTGTTATATTAAAAAATTTCATTTGTCACTTGAAATCACAATTAGATACACTCTCTTAAAAAGTCTTAACAAATTTTAATATCAAATAAATTAATTACCTTTAGAATTGTAGGACTTTTTAAAATCTCCATTGACACCAAAATTTAGTATTAAAAAATCTTTACAAATTCCAATCCTAGTTGTGAAATTTGGTACGATGCAAATTGTTTCCGACACGTCCTAGGTAAAGGTTTTCAACCTTCTCTTCCCTCCGAGTATCCCCTTCTCTTCTCTGTTAAATCATACCACGATGTACAGTATTGTAAGGATATCTGACTTATTATCCGTACGAAGTCGTATTATGCCTTATCGCCAGGAAAGGTAAACGATACATCTGAATGAAATTGTTGTTGAAATTACTTTTTTGAAGATTCTTTGTGTCTCGCTTGGCGTAATTTTCTTCTGCCCATTAATTAGTGATTACAGTAGCTGATTGCCTGTGTGCCTGTTTTATTTGTTTTTTTTTCCTTTTGTCCTTTTAGATTGCAAGTGACATTAGGGATGGTTTAGGTCTTTTAGGCTGTAAATCATGTTTTTTTTAATCTTTTTTCTTTTCGCTTGATATTTATCACGCGAGAAATTCACCGGTCAATGATTCATGATTAAATGTTGTATTTATGTTAAAAAAAAAATAAAAGTATTCATGTCATTTATAGTAATAGATTATTTCTGATTCAATCTGGATAAAAGTTAAAAGTGGTGATGAGCATCCATCATGCTTACGAAGATATTGCTTGCTTTTGTTTATAGCTATGAAAATTTTATCCTGTAGTTCACAATTTGTCTGGATTGCTGATTTATTATTCATAACAGATGAAAGAAAATTTTGTAACAAACACTATGTTTATGAGACAGTGTTATACTTGTTGATTCTAATCTGGTTTCCTTAATGATCTCTCGCTTTTGGAGTCCTAGCCATGTGAATAGGATTGGGTTGCTAGTGTCTCATGTTTTTTTCCCCTTGTGAAGCCCTCAATATTGTACATCTCCTGCTTTATTGTTTAAACATCTTGCAGAGTTAACCTCCCTGTTCCCTTTTCCCCTCTTCAATACTCTAGCCTCATGGAGTTAAATTTATTTAATTTGCCAAGCATACAGTCATAGTGTCATGCATACATTCAGAACAAGCCATATGACACTTGCTCCTAAGGTCTTTTATCGGTTGGTTTATTAGTTGAGGCTGAAATAATTGGTGCAAGACATGATTCATTGTCATATTTAGACAAGTCTTTTTATCCATCTATGATTTGCTAATTGGAAACTGTATTTGCCTGTTGGTTGTGAAGCTTCCTCTTTAAACAACTAGTGTTTTCCCATTGGAGGTGCAGACAAAAAGGACTCTTGACTTCTCTATATAGTTTATGCTTTGATCTTATCATAAGTATCTTATATATCCAGGCTGACCATTATTTTCGTAACTTGAGTTTCATCAACTCTTTGCTGCTTGTGATGAAGCTAGTCGAGTTTTAAGTATATAATGCATCATATAACAATCAAGCATGTCTTTCCATTATCTTTCTTAGTGCCTTTCCTAACTAACCAACATCTTTAGCAAACTGTCTCACAAATCCTCCACCTTGAAATTATCTGTGTCAGGCCAAAAGGTGATTGTTAACCATACACTACACCACATCACATGGCCCCGAAATCCCAGCGCGCGACCTCCCGACCCAGGCCTCGTAGGCCTTTCTTCATATTCCCACTCCTACTCCTAGCATTGGCGGGAATATGCGTTTTGGGCACGCTCGCACTCACAAACGCCCAAAAAATGTCCTACTTCCTACGCCCCCTCTGGGACAAACCCCCGCCCCCTTTCCGCCACATCATCCCCCATTACTACGCGGAGAACGTCTCCACCGACTACCTCTGCCGCCTCCACGGGTGGTCCCCGCGCCCCAACCCCCGCCGCGTCTTCGACGCCATCATCTTCAGCAACGAGCTCGACCTCCTCGACATCCGCTGGCACGAGCTCCGCCCTTACGTCGCCAAATTCGTCCTCCTCGAGGCCAACACCACCTTCACCGGCATCCCCAAACCCCTCTACTTCTCCCGCAACCTCAAACGCTTCTCCAAAAATTTCGACAATTTCGTCCACGGCGTTTTCCCGGGTCGGGTCAAGTCGGGCGACGACCCGTTTCGTCTCGAGTCCGACCAGCGCGTGGCCATGAACGAGCTGCTGCGCCGAGCTGGGATTTCGGACGGCGACCTCTTAATCATGTCGGATGCGGACGAAATCCCGAGCCCACACACGGTGAAGCTCCTCCAGTGGTGCGATGGTTTCCCGCCAGTTTTGCATCTCCAGCTCAGAAACTACATGTACTCGTTCGAGTTTCCTGTGGACTACAGCAGCTGGCGGGCCTCGGTGCATGTGTACGGGCGAGGGACTCAGTACCGGCATTCGAGGCAGGGGGACGTGATTTTGTCGGACGCTGGCTGGCACTGCAGCTTCTGCTTTCGGTATCTGAGGGATTTTGTGTTGAAGATGACGGGGTACAGTCATGCGGATCGGGTGAGGAGGAAGGAGTTTCTGAGGTATTCGAGGATTCAGAAGGTGATATGCAGTGGGGAGGACTTGTACGATATGCTTCCTGAGGAGTACACGTTTAGGGATTTGATTAAGAAGATGGGGCCTATTCCAAGCTCGGCCTCGGCTGTTCATGTCCCGGCTTACTTGATTCAGAATGCGGATAGGTTTAAGTTTCTTCTGCCTGGAGGTTGTATGCGTTCGCCCGGATCGGGTTCTTTTGATGTTGGATTGACTTGATTTAATGAGCATTATACCAAAATGTAATAGGTGGTGGTGGTGGTGGTTTATTGGCTTTATATATATTTATTTAGCTTGAGAAAATGTTGCAGAAAACTCAATTGGAGGAGAAGCTTTTTTGCATTGTTTTCCTTGCAAAATGCAAATGGCGAGGAAATTTCTATTTCGAGGCCTTTTTCGTTTGTNTGAGACTTAATCTTAATTGTGTGTAGATCAATGGCTCATATTAATCAATGAAATACACACATTATTTATATAATAAAAAATAAATTAACTTAACGACGTTGATCGTCTCCAGCGGTCGTTGGCCGGTCAGTCAAAGTGTCTACTCCCTCGGCCAGGACACCCTCTCGAAGTCCACCTCCCTCCCTTCACCGCTGCCGCCGTCGGCCCCCAGCGCATGAAGCTCTTCGCCAACATCTGGTGAGTTGAACATCAGTTTGACGTGGTAGCCCAACCAATTCGAGTCGCGGGCAAGGCGCTCGCAGTCGGAAATGGGCAGGGCGAAGACGAACAAGAATGCAAGCAACTCGTGATTCCTGTTAGAGGTCTCAGACTCGAGGTCGAGGAAGGCAATGGAAAGCAAGATCTTGCAGGCCCCTTAGGCAACGACGATGACGGATCTGTTGCCATCAAAGTCGCAGGTAAAAGCTCTGAGGCCGGTCAAGGCAAAGAGTCTGGAAGGGGAGGAGGTGTGGGAGGGCGATGTCGGCGGGCTGCTTGGGGGTGGGGATGTGGGGGGAGTGGCTGGAGACAGCGGTGGTGTGGTTGGAGACGCACCAGTCGTGACCGAATTTGGGGCCATGGATTTTGTTTGAAAATTAGATAAATTTTGGAGATTTAATTGCAATTTGAGAAACTTATAAGTTATTGCAATTTTATTTTTGGGTTCAATCTGTAATTTATTTAAGTTTGAATAATTGCACTCTAACCCTTGGAGTTTTCATTATATAATTAGTGCACATTTGGTTTATTTAGTGTGCATATTTATGTAATAAAAATGCATATTTAGTTCATATATAATGCAAACTTAGTTGAAAACATAAAGACAGTAAAACACTCTAGGATATTGTTGTAAAAAGTGCATACTTGGTTCATGAACAATGAATAATTAGTTGATATTATTGTTGCAAATTTAGTTCATTAAAAATACATATTCAGTTCACACCAAATGCATATTTAGTTCATAACAATTGCATATTTTGAGTGCAAATTTACTTCATACAGAATGCATATATGGGTCATAAAAAATACATATTTAGTTCTTTTTTTTTTTTATGTCAAAGAATAGAAATCCATATAAAAAACACAGAATTACATACCAGAGAGCAGCTAAACAGCTGAATAAGTCAGCTAAATAAGTCAGCTAGTCAGTTGAATCTCGTTGGGAGGACTAACCTCAAATGCAACAAGCCGAGATAGCCTAGAACTAACCTAATCACAACACACTAAACTCACCACAATAACAAGAATAAAAACTTCCTATGGGAGAAAAACCTACTCCCAACAGTAGAATAATCGACTCCCAACAAGAGAATCGACACCTAAACAAACTAAAAGAACAAAACCCCACAAAACACGAAACACACGACTAAAACAAACAAAAGAAAGACACATAAGCAAAATAAAAACAGCAAACAACAAAACAACTAAAAACACAAGCCCTCCATTATGCATATAATATTGATCGGCAATACATGATGCATATTTAGTTAAATAATTTGATATAATATTATTATTTGTTTTTAAAAATATAATTACGGTAATACATGGTGCATATTTAGTTAATCCATTATGCATATTTAGCTCATATAAAATGCATATTTAGGTCGTATATTTAGTTCATCTCAAGTGAACTAAATATAATTACGGTAATAATAATAATTATTATATTTAAATTAATTATATGAAATGCACATTCAAATCTATATTTTCACTGCACACTTAGTTCATGCAAAATGCGTATTGTTTTATACGTAGTGCATATTTTAGTTCATGAACAATGCATACTTAGTTGATACTATTGGTGAACATTTAGTTTATAAAAATTGTATATTCAATTCATATCAAACCAAATAAATATTTAGTTTATGTCAACTGCATATTACGAGCGTACATTTTATCCATACATGATGCATACTAAGTAATAATGAACGTAATAGTTGTGGAGGTAGCGATGATGATGCGAAGATGGAGGTGGATGAAACTGTGGAAGAATGAAAAAAGAGATTTATTATTGCACATTTAGTTCATGAACAATGCATTTAGTTGATATTATTGTTGTACATTTAGTTCATTAAAAATAAACATTCAGTTCACACCAAATGCATATTTAGTTTGTAACAACTGCATATTTTGAGTGCGAATTTACTTCGTACACAATGCATATATGGTTAATAAAGGAATGTATATTTAGCTTACATATTTAGTTCATATCAAGTGCCTATTTAACATACATATTTAGTTCAAACTGATCAATATATTTTTTTATTATATAATTAATTTGATATAATATTATTATTTGTTTTTTATTATATAATTACTGCAATACATGATGCATATTTAGTTAATTCATTATGCATATTTAGTTCATATAAAATGCATATTTAATTCGTATAATTAGTTCATATGAGGTCCAATCATAGTCATTTCTTTGTGTAGATCAATAGCTCATATTAATCAATTGAAATTTACATTAATCATGTAATAAGAAATAATAATCATTATATTTAAATTAATTATATGAAATGCACATTCAATTCCATATTTCACTGCACATTCAATTCATGCAAAATGCGTATTTTTTTTCATACATAGTGCATATTTACTTCATTAACAATGCATACTTAGTTAATACTATTGGTGAACATTTAGTTTAAAAAAAATTGTATATTCAATTCATACCAAACCAAATGAATATTTAGTTTATGTCAACTGCATACTACGAGTGTACATTTACTCCATACATAATGCATACTAAGTAACAATGAACGCAAAAGTTGTGGAGGTAGCGATGATGAGGCGAAAATGAAGGTGGATGAACGTATGGAAAAATGAAAGAAGATATTTATTAATTAGTTGCATAATATTGGGTTGCATGATTAAATTTACGATAATATGCATGATTGAAAAATAAAATCATAAAATTTTATGACTTTTAAAACAAATTCATATTTCATTTATTTAATATTTTTAACATAATATATAACATATTACAATTAGGCTAAAATTTGTATTAGTCATTTATAATGTTCGATGAAATGCAATCTATTAATTCTTGAATACTTTTATGATATAGGGGGTGGATCCAATAAGACCACTCCTTAAAATGAGTCCGTAAGATTCAATCTTAGCCACTCATTTTGTTTGGATCAAGGATTTATGTTAATCAATTAAAATATACATTAATTAAATAATAAAAATAATTATTAGTTGACTCTGGTGTTGACCGTTGACTCCGGCATTGACCGTTGACTTCTGGCGTTGACTTTCGACGAAAATCGTTGACTTCCAGCGTTGACCGTTGACTTCCGGCGTTGACCCGTTGACCATAATATGTATTGTGTATGAAGTAAATATGGTGAGGCAAAGTTAGTGTAAATATGTTGTAAAGTTATTGTAAATATGTTGCAGGGTTAGTTGTTTTTATTTGCAATGTTTAGTTGTATTCAGTTTGCAAGGTTAGTTGTCTATAGTACAAGTTAGTTGTCTTTAGTTGCAAGGTTAGTTATGTCTAGTTGCAAGGTTAGTTCTGTCTAGTTGCAATACTAGTTTTCTCCAGTTGCAAGGTTAGTTGTCTGTAGTTGCAAAGTTAGTTCTATCTTGTTGCAGGGTTGGTTGTTTTTATTTGCAATGTTTAGTTGTATTCAGTTTGCAAGATTAGTTGTCTGTAGTTGCAAGGTTAGTTGTCCTTGGTTGCAAGGTTAGTTGTCTTTAGTTGCATGGTTAGTTGTTTTTTATTGCAAGGTTAGTTGTCTTTAGTTGCATGGTTAATTGTCTTTGGTTGCAAGGTTAGTTCTCTTTAGTTGCAAGGTTAGTTGTCTTTGGTTGCAAGGTTAGTTATCTTTAGTTGCAAGGTTAGTTCTGTCTAGTTGCAATGTTAGTTTTCTCTAGTTGCAAGGTTAGTTGTCTGTAATTGCAAAGTTAGTTCTATCTGGTTACAGGGTTAGTTGTTTTTATTTGCAATGTTTAGTTGTCTTTAGTTGCAAGGTTAGTTGTCTTTAATTATTCTTTTGTACATGATGCATACTAAGGTCAACACGTAGTCAACGATTTCCACCGAAAGTCAACGGTCAACGCCGGAGTCAATGATCAATGGTCATAATAATATTTCAATAATTGAAATAAAGAATTAAATAATAAAAATAAAGAATTATTATTTAAATTAAGATATAAATCTTTTGGCTAGAAATGAGTCTCACGTCCTCACTTTATATAAGCGGATACATTGGAACCAATCCATATATATATATATAGAGAGAGAGAGAAAGGTTCAAGTGAGAATGATTATCAGCGAAAGAAATAAGAATACATCTTGGCCATCGAATCTGATAATCCAACAGCAAAAAAAAAGAAGCCTTTTTACATTCATTCAGGGTATTTTTGGTATTTTCTCTCACACGTGAGTGTGGGCCCTACCCCTCCCCGTTCCGCTCTCTCTCACACACACATACAGGCCCTCCCTCTCCCATTCTCACCCTCCCTCTCTCACACACGCATACAAAGCAACACGCGCTCATCTCTGCCACAAACATGCCCACGATGGCAGCGATGGTCGTCGCCTGGACCAACCACCCCAGGCACGACCCGACAACAACCTGAGGCACATCAACAAAGTAACTCCCTCTCTACTCTCTATCTCCCTCTATCGTTGCTCACTCTTGTCGCCTTTCAAATCTCGTCGTCACTACTGTCATCTTCCTCCTCAGTTGCCCCGTCTAAGTCCACCACTGCACACTCCATCACCGCCGCCTTCCAAATCCCGTCGCCGCCACCATCGTTTTCCTCTCATCCACCCCATCCAAATCCATCGTCGCACACTTCCACCGCTGTTGCCTTCCAAATCCCACAGCCGCTACCGTTGTTTTCCTCCTCAACCACCGCCTCGTCCAAATTCGCTGTTGCACACTCCCATCGCCGCCGCCACCGTCGTCTTCTTTCTCAATCGCTCCATCCAAATCCCGCCACCACCGTCGTCTTCTTTTTCAGTCGCCCCGTCTAAATCCCATCGCCTTACTGATAGCCGCTGGGGAGGATTTGCCACACATTATCACAATTTCACACCCTGTACCAGGTTAATTGGAGGGGATGGGTTATGAAAATTTGACAAGTCCCAGGACTTATATACAATTTTAGGAATTTTAACTATATTACATTTTAGATCATGGAGCAAATCTGTAGTTTATCAAATATTTAATAAATGCACAATATTGATAAGTAAAGTGCACAATATTGTGAGTGCATATGCACATTAAAAATATTGTGCTGCAGAATGCACAATAGTGTTAGACTACGGGTACATTAAGGGCTGATAAAATGCACACCAGCATAACAGTGTATTTTGCGCAATGATTAAAATACCTCTGACGAGTTGGACCATCTATATGTCGACATGTTGAAGTCGACATCCATGAGTCGACACCCGGCAGTCGGCGTCTCTGTATATAGTAACCAAAGGGAGAAGCTGATCTCACTAAAGTCGACGACTCCCAAAGTCGACCTCCACCAAGAAGACGAACAAGCGTAGCCTCCGAACAAATTCATAAGTCCTAAGTCGACCTCTTGGTGCTCGAGGTCGACTCTTCACCCTTCGAGGAGTCAGAGCACGGTGACGAGTTGAGACACTTGCGTTGTCTCTTAATAGGCCTCCTAAATGAAGGAGAATCTTGATTGGATAATCTCCTAATAGGCCTCTTAAATGAAGGAGAATCTTGATTGGATAAAAAGGAATCTTGTGATGACTAAGCAGTGAGGGGAGACGAATCGACCGGGGTAATTTAGACATTTTAGGTAAACTGACCGGGGCATTTTGGGTGCTTCAAGTAAGTAGTTTCTCCTATATATAGGGGCTGAGGTAACCCTAAACCCTAACTCCAATTCATTCCATACACTTTCTTCTCCTGCTGTTGTTGCTCTCTCAGAGCAGCTCTCCTCGTCTCTTTAACATACTGACTTGAACATTTGAGGATCTACGCCGGACATACTTCCGACATTGAGTTCTTGCAGTTGTTGTCACGGTCTAGCAACGGTTTGAAGGCGGCTCGAACAAATCGGAGCTCATAACCACTGGTTTACTCCAGATCTGAGAGTAGACCCATCAACCTCATTGTGAAAAATCAAAGTCCACATATTTTTAGGAATGCCACCGCCCCTTTTAACCAAATATTTCTCACTCAACTGCTATGATCCATCATTGTTTATTT